GCCCGAACCACTCCCAAAACCCCAAAACCCCAAGCACAGCCTTATTAAGCAATGATTAAAAATGAAATATATAATTACAAAAGATTCTTCAAACCTAGAAAATCTGATTATAGAGATAAATGAAGTTGCTGCTTACATTACCTATATTAACCCTATTGCTTGCACTATCCACAAGAGCTCTTGTTACTGAAGACCAAGGAAGGACATGGAACATCCTATCATTAGACGGTGGTGGTATCCGTGGACTCATTACTGCCAAAGTTGTTGACTATATGGAAACATATGCATATGAGTATGCCGTGGTAGAGTATTGCATTGAAGAGAGATCAAGCAAGAAGATTTCAATGGCTGAACTATTTGACTTGGTCGCAGGTACCTCTACAGGATCACTCTTAGCTACAGCCCTCGTTATTCCAAATGACGATCCCTTGACTAACGATACTGTTATCAATAAGTTTTGGGCTCAGAAAGCTATTGAGGTTTATACTATCAGAGCTCCTTAAGTTTTTACCAAGTTCTAAATGTCATTCAAATTCAGAATCATTGGTGTATTAATTATTACTACCATTGGACTATTTGTTGGCTTCTTAGTTGGTAGAAAGATGTACGTAAATGCCCAATTCGAAGAAAGTATCAAGGCCCTTAAGCAGTTAGTTAAAAGCAGGAAGTAATCAATTAAAGGCAAAGAAAATAAGAATTTAACTGAGTTGGTTGCTAAGAGCATTCAAAACAAGTTTGTTGAAGATGACCAAAAGGAACTGTTAGGTGAAATCCAAACTGGAAGCTTATCAACAGTTGAGGATGCAGAGGACAAGATTTTTAACGAGGAAATGAAATACATGGAAAAGAAGGGAAGGAAGTGGATCGTCATGATAGTTGGAGGATTCGTCTTTGCTGTACTCGGATGGGTACTGATGCCATACATCTTCATGCTTACTAAATCCAGCTACGATAGAAGTGGAATTGAGGAAATCTGCAAGGAGATGTTCGGAAACGTTAAGATCGAAGATGCTCTTACAAACGAAGTCAATATCATCTCATATGAGTACAACAGTCACCAGCCAAGAATATTCTCTAAATTTTCTGCCGCTAGAAGTCCTGGCAACTTTAGTGTTGGCCTTTCAAATGCTTCTTAGGCCTCTTCAGCAGCCCCTATTTATTTCGATCCTAAAGTTATTGGGGATCAAGTGTTGATTGATGGCGGAGTTATTGCTAACAACCCAGCCTTTTACTCTTATTTGCACTCAAAGTACGCTAACAATCAAAAGAAAGTTAGAGTTATTTCTGTTGGTACTGGAGAATAAAAAACTAAAGAGATTGATCCAAAAAATATAGACAAGATCACCTGGGCTTTACAGATCGGAGCACTCATCACTAGCACTGAAGCTACTACTCATGACTACCTAATGATGAGAGAACTGCCCAAGAATTACTTCAGATTCTAAAAGACTATGACTGATTCTCTTGCCCTTGACTCTTATGAAGAGGAGGACATTTAGAAATTGCTTAAGTATGGAGAAGATCTAATAAAGGAGAAGTAAGACGATATCAAGAAGTCAATTAGAATGGTAGTTGATGATGTTGTTGGAGGTCAGTGGGAATTCAAATCTTGCCACCCACACCCAAAGCCTTTATAGCCTGCAGAGCCCCCAGTCAAGCTTATTTGATTATTAATTGCTTAATGTTTCTTAATCTAACTTATATGTTTGTCATAATAATATGATTAATTGATAGCTAGAGTATTACAAGAATCTAAAAATATTGTATTCAAAAATAAATTTTCTGATCTCAAACAGCTTCATTCTAATTATATTAATTCTCATCAATATGCATTATAATATAAAGATACAAACAAATATTCTTTCCCCATTTCTAGATAAAGAATATGCTTCGTAGTAAAACAAACACTCTAGTCAAAATAGGGTTTGCCATGGCAATGATAGCTAGCCTGACAGTTGCATCAGATATGATGAGTCTAAGCTCAAGTGAACCAATATTTGTGGTTGATTAAGATAAGCATCTCGGTGAAATTACAATCGTATAGCCTGAAAAATACTTGAACCTAGCAGCTGTGCAAGATGATGCCTCTTCTGGTTCTAAACCTGCAGGGGGGTCAACAGCTTCTGATGATGATTAACCAGATCATAAGCATTACAATATTCTGTCAATTGATGGTGGAGGTATTAGAGGTATCATCCCAACTGTGCTTATTCAATACATTGAAACTGAGTCATATGCTTATGCCAGAAATATGTCTTATATTAAAGAAGATTCCAGAGGAATTATAGAGATGAAGGACCTTTTCGACATGGTAGCTGGTACTTCCACTGGTGGGCTCATAACCACTGCTTTGGTTACTCCCAAGGAAGTCAACTCCAAAGAGGCTTACAATGCTTCATTCGTTATGAGTATTTTTGAAGATAAAGGTGCTGAAATTTTCAAGAGTCAGTCCATCAACAAGGGATTGCTCGGTATTATGATCACTATTATGATCATGATTGGAGGTGTCCTTGGCTATAGACTTGGTAAAAACATTTTTGCCAACTAATAGGTAGAGGATACTAACTACAAGCTTAGACATTACATCAAGGAAGCTAAGAAGACTGCTAAGCACGATGATAAAATGCACGATTCTGAAACTAAGACAAGCGCCTTGGGCTCTCAGTTGCTCAAGCATATGTCAGTTGCCTTAACTAAAAAAGTTGAATAAATTCATTATGAACTTATTCCAGAAGGACAAAAATTGCAAGAATTAGTTGAGTCTCACGACTACTGGAAAATCAAGGAGGCTGAGAGACTTTTGCAAGAAAGAGAAGGTAAATACAGAGAAAGCAAGCAAAAGAAGTGGATATTCTGTGTATTCGGACTTATACTCGGAGGTGCTCTTGGCTACTACATCCCAGTAGCTGTCTACTATCTTGGAAATTCTAACTATAACAGAACTGTAATTGATACCTACTTAAAGTCATTCTTCGGACATGCCAAAGTCTCAGACATCCTTACAGATGAGTGCCTCATAGTTGCCTACTCTTACAATGCTCAACAACCAAGATTCTACTCTAAGTATGAGGTTTCAAAGGATCCATAAATTTATGATGTTGGTCTAGATATTGCTGCTGGTGGTTCTTCAGCTGCTCCAGGTTACTTCGATCCTAAAGTATTTGAGAATGGCAGAGGAGAGACTGAAGTACTTGTTGATGGAGGAATTATTGCTAATAACCCAAGCATGTATGCTTTTATTTTCGCCTCAGAAATGAACAAAAAGAAGAACATTAGAGTTGTCTCAATTGGAACTGGACAAGTTAAGCAACCAATGATTGATCCAGATAATGTAAGCATTCTTACCTGGGTTGAAAATCTTGGCGATTTGATTGTTGATGTTGAAGTCACTGCTCATGCTTATTTCACTGAATTCCTTGCTGGCAAGTACCATAGATATCAAGTTGAAACAGAACTACCACTTGACGCTGCTGACGGTGAATCTATTAAGGCACTTAAGAAACTTGGTAATAATCTTTTAGAGCAAGAAAAAGAAAATCTTGATATCCTTATTCGTGAGCTTGTTGAGGAGAGACTATCTCCAAAAGCTAAATAGACAGCTAAATGATTATTTATCTAGATTGTTAATCTCTTAATAAATAATTCAGATTTACTTTATTCTTGTATATATATGAAGTTCGGGGTTTTGGGGTTTTGGGGTTTTGGGG